GGGGCCTCACTTCTTCAGCTTCTCCTCCAGCTGCTGCTTGTCGTTCTCCAGGTCCATGATGTTCTCCTGGGTCAGCTTCAAGTCACCTTCCAGCTTCCTCTTGGCCCGCTCCAGGTCCATCCGGACCTTCTTCTCCTGCTCCAAGGAGCCCTCGAGCTGCGCGGCGACACCGAAACGGGGAGAAACCGCCAGGTTTTGTCACCACACCCACCCCTCCCCCCCCAGAAGCTCCTCGGGGACCGGCCCCGCCCTCACGTCGTCCGCCTGCTGCTCCAGCTTGACTTTGGCCTTCGTCAAGGTGTTGACCTTGTCTTCCTCGGCCTGCAGGTCATCCAGGGCTTGCTGGTGGGCTTCCTGCAGGGCCTTCTTCTCCTTCGTCAGCTTGGCGATGGTCTCGTCCAGGCCGGCCATCTCCTCCGTCAGGTTCTTGACCTGCAGGAGGAGGAAGGTCAGGCCTCCAGCTTGGCGCCGGGAGGTGGGGCAAGGGGCTCCGGGGGGAGATGGACCTCAGTCGTGTGGGAGAAGCCAACCAGGCTCGGGTCTTGGTTGTGCAACCAGCCTTGGGTCTTCTTGACCCAACAGCTTTGGGTCTTCCCAACCCAACCACCTTGGATCTTCTCAACCCAACTGGTTTGGGTCTTCTTGACCCAACCACTCTCGGTCTACCCAACCCAAATGGCTCGAGTCTTCTCAACCCAACAGCTTTGGGTCTTTCCAACTCAACCCAACAGCTTTGGGTCTTCACAATCCAACTGGTTTGGATCTTCTCAACACAACCACATTGGGTCTTCTGGACCCAACCAGCCTTGGTCTTCTCAACCCAACAGCTTTGGGTCGTCTCAACCCAACCCAACCAGCCCTGGATCTTCTCAATCCAACTGGTTTGGGTCTTCCCAACTCAACCCAACAGCTTTAGGTCTTCCCAACTCAACTGACTTGGATCTTCTCAACCCAACGACCTTGGGTCTTCTCAACCCAACAGCTTTGGGTCTTCTCAACCCAACCCAACCAGCCTTGGATCTTCTCAGCCCAACTGGTTTGGGTCTTCCCAACCCAACCAGCTTGAGTCTTCTCAACCCAACCCAACTGCCTTGGATCTTCTCAACCCAACTGGTTTGGGTCTTCTTGACCCAACCAGCCTTGGTCTTCTCAACCCAACCCAACCAGCCTTGGATCTTCTCAACTCAACTGGTTTGGATCTTCTCAACCCAACCACGTCGGGTCTTCTTGACCCAACCAGCCTTGGTCTTCTCAACCCAAATGGCTCAAGTCTTCTCAACCCAACTGGTTTGGGTCTTCTCAACCCAACCCAACCACCTTGGATCTTCTCAGCCCAACTGGTTTGGGTCTTCTTGACCCAACCAGCCTTGATCTTCTCAACCCAACAGCTTTGGGTCTTCCCAACCAGCTTCAAGTCGACCCCCGCCCCCTCAGCGGGCGGTGGAGGCCCCTCTTCACCCTCACCTTGTTCTCGGTGGCGTGTTTCTCCTTCTCCACCTTGGCCAACGTCAGCTCCAGGTCGTCGATGTCCTTCTTCAGCTCCGAGCACTCGTCCTCCAGCTTCCTCTTCTTGGCCGTCAGCTCGGCGTTCATCTCCTCCTCGTCCTCCAGCCGCTCCGTCAGCTCCTTCACCTTGGCCTCCAGCTGGATCTTGTTCTTGATCAGCTGGTCGCAGCGCTCCTCCGCGTCCGTCAGGTTGTCCTGCTCCTGCGGTGGGGTGGCGGGTGAGGCGAGGGGTGGTGGTGACCACCCCCTTCGAGGTGATTTTGGGGCGGGGGGAGG